AAAAAAAAAAAATTAAAATTAAAAAAAGATTGACAAATACATGCTCCCATTTATGTGAAATGTCTACCCTTATGTCATTGTTAATGCGTGATGATCGTTGCAAGATTTGGTAATGAATTAGATATATATAATTTCACCTATGCATTGCAGAGGACTTGATTCTATTATTCAAAATCACGTCCTTTAGGCTCCATTATAGACAAACTAGCCATCGCTCTTAGTCTCCTCAATATCCAAATTATCTGGACGTTCAAAGAATAAATTCTATCAGCCATTTTATATAGGAAACTATGCTTAGAGTGGAGTTATTCATGGCAAAAAATCTCATGCCGATCTGTCTCGGGTTAAAAAAATGCAATATATATTGGAGCTTGGGATTCCTCAAAGTCTAGTCTAAATTTCTGTGGAATCTGGCAGTTATTTGGAGGAATCCAGAGATATATGGAGCAATTTCCTGATGGTGGTTATTTTAAAGGAAAAAATTTTGTCTTTGATCACAGGTATACTTTATTCCAACTTTATATATCATTCAGTTTCATGATTTAGACGTAAATTTTGTAAAATGTTCATATATTCATTTCTAATGAATGCATAGGATTTCTGTTGGAAGTCGGGACAAGGATGTGCTTGGAACTTGTCTTATATGCCATTCTCCCTTTGACGATTATTCATCTCGTTGTCGCTGTTCTTACTGCAGAATGTTAATTTTGGTGTGCGATATTTGCCAGGTTAGCTCCTCGCCAACAGAAGCCACTCTGTTCACCGCTAAATCAAAACATTAGCTTTTGTTTCTATCTAGGTGAGTGAAGCAGCTAATTATTCAGTACCCTTCTGCTGTACCATTACAAAATCATATTTTAATGATGAAGAATCATTCATCACCGTTAGCTTAATATACTATAGGTCATACAATTAGGAACTTCACCACAGCTTTTCCCAACTCATTGTCTTCCTCATTCTCTATGACTATTGTGTACAGTATATTTGGTGGACAACACTGCTAACTATGTCATTTATGAGATATTATTGCTTAATTTGTTCTGTTATCACTATCGCTTTAATTATTGTGCTAGCACTTGTATTCAGGGCAATTATAGAGGGAGATACATATGTGAGCTGTGCCAGAAACACTTTAATGATGAAAAGCCCATGCCTCTCGTGCTATACAACCAGTTGGATTGGGAACTCCCTCACGAATCATTTGATGTCATCAAGACTGAAGCAGAAACTCTGCTTAATAGTAGTCCAAACCCCTATAGTGATCTCTCTATTAGATCAGGTAAGGTCTGTATTCATACCTGGGAATCCCAGTAAATACCGATTACAACACTCTACTTCTCTCAGTTTATACAAATACTAAAATTCTTGATACAAGTTCTTCTCTTTGTTCCATAGTTTCTGATCGCAGCAGGAAGCTAAGAATACTGTGTTTGCATGGGTTCCGACAGAATGCTTCAAGTTTTAAAGGAAGAACATCATCACTGGCCAAAAAGCTCAAGAATATCACCGAGTTCATCTTCGTTGATGCTCCCCATGAACTGCCATTTATTTATCAACCAGCAGAATTATTATCCCAACAAGTTTCTCCTGCACCCTCAGAGAACTGCAAGAGAAGATTTGCATGGCTCGTCTCTCCAAATTCAAACTCATCTGATGAAAGCAGCTGGAGAATAGAAGAACAACAATTTGATCCTTTTCAGTATAAAACGCAAACTGAAGGATTTGAATTGTCATATTCTTACCTTGAAGGCCTGATCTTAAAAAATGGTCCCTTTGATGGAATCCTTGGATTCTCTCAGGGCGCAGCTATGGCTGCTTTGTTTTTCGAGAAGCAGCAAAGAAGCGGCGGAGTATCCGATCTCCGATTTGCTTTCTTGTGCTCTGGGTTTTCTACTGTTTCTAGCAAATCGGTGCCGGTCAACGGATTTATAAAGTTGCCATCTCTGCATGTTTTTGGTGATGGAGGAAAGGATAGGCAGATTAACGTTGAAGCTAGCAGGGAGCTTGCTGAGCTGTTTGATAAGAATAGTTCAGTAATCGTGGAGCATGATATGGGTCATATTATTCCTACCAGATCACCTTATATTGATCAAATAAAGGCATTTCTCATGTCTTTTCAGTGATTTACTGTTTAAATTTACTAATGCCGTATAATTTTGTTTTTATTGTCGTTGTTGGAATTTTTACTAAACCTGTAACATTTAGATTTGTCATGTTTGTTGAATGTATCATAGATTGGTATTTGAAAAAAGTGGCATTTACATACAAACCACTCAATTCCTATGT